TAAAATTTGAGAGTAGATGAACTGGTGAAGATGCTAGACTTTAGAAAGAATTCAATGCCGATTTCTTTGGGAGGATGAAGATAGGAGAAGGAAATTCCACTTGGTTAAATGGGAGGAGGTGAAGAAGCTGGTGAAAATGGAGGGGTTTGGGGATCCGGTCCTTTAATAGAGATGAATAAAGTATTGCAAGGCAAATGGTTATGGATATACTTGAAGGGGGAGGAGCGATTATGGAAAAGAGTGGTGGATGCAAGATGGGGTAGTTGGGTGGAAGTTGATTCTTAGTGCGTATCAGGCCGGTCTCATGGTTTAAGCCTATGGCGGAAGATTGGTATGAATTGTGACAGCTTCCTTCAGAATGTGAAGTGGCAGCTGGGGAAAGGGGACAAAATACGGATCTGATTTGATGAATGAATTGGGAGCAGGAAACTTAAAGATCAATTTCCAGGTATTTTGGCTATAGCTAAGCATAAATGCAATGTTATGGAGAATGTTTATGACGGTGAGGGTCAGGGGGAGATGTGGAATGTGGAGGTGTCGGGAAATTTGAATGGTGGGAGGTGGGGGAATATGAAGAGTTGCTGCAGTTGCTGTCAGGTGTGAGAATGAAGGCAAACAGTGATATTTTAGTGTAGAAACCGCAGATTGATGTCAAATTTACTGTGAAGTCTCATTATGATTTGTTGTTGGCTTCTAATGGTAATGAGACTTTGCAGTTCCCGTACAAGTAGATCTGGAAAGTTCATGTGCCACCTAGAATTGCTTTTTTGCTTGGGAGGTCAGGAGGGAATGTATCTTGACTATTGACAAGTTGATTAAAAGGGGGGCAGAGTGATGGTGAATGCTTGTTATTTATGTAAAAGAGTGGCTGAGGCTTGCAATCATCTACTTTTATGGTGTCCTATTGCTCATTATTTATGGTCGATGGTTTTTGGCATGCCGTGTATCAGTTGGTTTGGGGCAGATTCTATGAAAGAGTTTTGGGCTTGGGGTGGGATATGTAAGAGGAAGAAATTTTTAAAATTTATCCCATTGGCTATCTTTTGGGTGCTTTGGAAAGAGAGGAATATGAGGGTGTTTGATGGGGTTGAGAGGGACATTGTAAAGATTAAGGATGGTTGGTTTCATTATTTTGGCTCTAGTTTTTTAGAGCATGACATGTATAAAATAGAAGATTTTAGGCATGTCATAGATAACTTTACTGAAATATAAATAATTTTATTTATGGGTTGCATCCCCTTGGTGCTTCTGCTTAAATTTATTTTTATACTTCTTATTTCAAAAAAAAAAAATTTCGAGAGTAGGTTCCTCTTTTCTATTGTAGCATGATCAACCATAAACATGTATGACACGCACAAGTAGGGTTAGAAAGAGAAACATGTTTCGCCATATATTTCATACCATCTCTTGCATTTTAATGGGCAATGCAAAATGCTAGTTTGTTGAATCTTTTGATTAAGATATATTACTTTATGCTTCTAACTCTTTTTGCTTTGTTCTTGATGCTAGGCTTTACAATCTCTGTCTATCAAATATGGAGTCTTCCAGGCTGTTTATACCTACTGGAAAGAAAAGGTATGGTAACAAATACAAGAGTTAGAGCTGTTCTGGGATTCTAAGGCATTTTCCATTCTTGATTTATGTCTAATTTTCTTTTGTTGGAGGGTCACGTGGGGCATTGTTTGTGGGCACGGGGGGGTGGGGGAGGGAGGAGGGAGAGGAGTGTAGGTATAGTGATGATTGAAGATAATAATTTTGCAGGGTACGGAAGAAAGCAAGAAGTTCACATATTACATTTGGTTATTTACTGCAGTTGGGGATTTCATAAAAATCTTAGAAAACAATTCAGTTGAGACAGTATATTGTAAAATTGAGCTGCTCTGGCAAAATTTTGAAGCATATGAGGTGTTAGGATCTTTAGAAACCTGAAGGTCAAGAAGTTCAAAAGGTTTTCTCAGGAAGAGAATTTTTCTTTTCATTGCATCACTTTTAGTTTCTCTAGAATGGAAAAATAAGGAAAACAACTTTCCAGCTAATTTATCAAATTAGTGAATGAAGAGGGGAGAAGGATACTATTTTATCTCACCTTGCTAAGCTTATTTGAATTTTTCTGACACTTCAATTTGCTTCTCTCATATTGTTTATAAGATTATTAAGTAAACAATTGGGATGTGATTAGGTGTGACACCGACAGCTTGTTGGAGGAGTTTCATGAGATTCACAAATTTTTGATTGTTTAAGTTTGATATTTTTGGTTTTGATCTCCAAGGTGGAATGCAATGAATACTATGGATCATTGACCTGTTAGTTTCTTGAGCAATATTTAAAAGCCCTTTGCGAAAAGTTTTAGCCTTCAGACTTGGTTGGGTGATTGACAAAGTGATTGGAGAGGCTCAACATGCTTCTGTGAAAGGTCATCAGATTTCGGATGCTATCTTAACTGCTAATGAGGTACTTGATTAGATCACTTCCTGGCGAGAGGGAATTGATGTCCAAGTTGGATTTGAAAAAGTTTACAACCATGTCATCAATGCATCTTGAGTCGGATGGATTTGGGGATGAGGTGGAGAAAATTTAGGCAATGTGTATCTCACACTTTTGCATCTTGATTAAGGCTTTAGTTGTTGGAAACAGAGCAATGAGTGAGGATGTGGCCCACCTTTTCACTGATGACTCTTTTGTTTGATAGGCTGTACAGGAGCTAACTGCTTCATTTCAAATGTCTTGTTGTATGTTTGAAGTCGGGAGAAATCTTAATTGGTGGCTTTCAGGGAAGGAGTTGGTGCCAAGGCCAGTTGGTGGTTATTGGTTGTAAAGTCAGCACTCTCCCTCTAAAATATTTGGGTTTGCCTGTAGGACACTAATTTAAAGATTGCAATATATGGGACTTGGTAAAGTTAAAAATGGAAAAAAGATTTAATGCAGAATGCGTCTATGGAATGCCGAAGTAGATTATAAATTATAATTATATTTTTTTTTGAGAACAAAGTGTAAGACATAAATTATAATTATATTAAATGTAAAACCACAGTAATATTTTGGAATCTATTGTTATCGTTTTAGTAACTCTAGTATTTTGTTCTTATTATTATTTATTTTTCCTTTTTTTTAAGTATTTCCTATGTGTATCAAGATTAAAATTTCTAATATTATTAGCATTGGTTACCTATCTTATTAGGAGTGGTATTTCTAATCTTATTAGATTCAGTAATTTTTTAGTTTAGTTTTATTTAGTAAAAATCACTTACGGATTACTATAAATCTTTCTTTAATTTCCTATTTAAAAAAACAAAATTCTTTAATTTCACTTCTTGAGACAAAATGTAGTTATTCAATAAAATATTTTGAGAATTTCTCAATTTTCTAGTTTTGTAATACAATCAAACCTTTAAGTATGATATTTTAGACTTCCTAGATGTGATGTCTAAGAAACCCTAAGTGCGATGTGTAAGTTTTTATCCCTTAATCTCTAATTGGACAAATCAACTCTATTTGTTCTACATAATGGTTGGCTAGTTGGAAGAGAGAGTTCCTTTTTAAAGGTGGTAGATCACCCTCGACAAATCTTTTAATTTATTTTTTAATTTTGTTCCAATACCTTTTAATGTAGCGAAGCACTTAGTGGTTTATACTGCAGGTTCTTATGGGTTAACTCAGAGGATCATAGGTGTTGCTATCTATTCTCCTGGGACCTCGTAAAAAAGATGGCTTCAGAAATCTCTAAAGAACATGAAAAAGAGCCTTACTGGTAAAATGTTTATGGAAGTCTATGATTTGCATAGGACAGCTCTGATGGGAGATGATTGGAGGCTAACTATGGTGGTAAAGGAAGGGAGGACGAGCATTGAAGGCACCTAGATAGCACCAGCTTTTAAGATGGATTGCTAGGGATTAGGGTCTTATTTTGAACTTGGCGGCCTTCAAGCTTGGTAGAGTCAAGCACAAAGAGTTGGCGGCCTTCAAGCTTGGTAGAGTCAAGCACAAAGAGGTGATAATGTATGATCTTTTGGATTTTTGACTCGGGTTGGTTGTTTGGAACATTTAGCTCTCTAGATGATCTTAATAACCTAAGAGGTTAAGAGTTTGTGGATTTGATGGCTTCTCTTTCCAATTGCCAGGTTGACCACTCCAAGGATGATTAGCCCCCAGTGGGCTGTTGCCAAATATGTCAAGTTTCTGGGAAAATCTTTTTGCAACTATTTGCACAACCACAATATAGAGGCTTTTGGGTTCCCTTGGAAGGAAATTTGGAAATAATGTGTATCCTAGGATTGCTCCTTTTTTCTTTCTCTCTTTTTCTTGGGGACCTAGGAAGCTGTGTGGGAAAGAATCTTGACCATGAATAGCCTGAAGAGAAAAGGGAACTCATTGTCAATGGTTCCGCTTTATGGCTTTGCGAGTATAAATTCCCTAATAGTCTTCGTCTATGATAATTTAAAAAAAAATAAATAAACTTCTTCTATGGTGTTCTGAGGCTAGAAGATCTTGTGATTCTTTTCTGGGTCTCCTTTATTTGTCTTTGGTTGGCTCAGGTTCCATTTCAAGGGAACGTAGAGCTTGGTCAGGCTTTTGTGCTTGTAAATCTTAAGGACAAATTCCTTTCTCTCATTCTTACGTCTATTTATTGGATCACTTGGAGAACAAGAGGGTTCTTGGGGCACTGCTCTCCTTTTGACAAGATTAGAGATTAGGGGTTCCACAAACTGAATAATTTGTTCACAGGGCATCCTATGTTTGATGATGTGGATTTGGGAACCTTGTAAATATTCTGGTTTATAATTTTTGATGAATGTGTTCCCAGCACTCCTTTGTTGTCTTTTATTTCCTTTTTATATAAAAGAAAGAAAGAATCACTGATCACACAACATCAACATGCGATAAACTGTTCTAACATGAAAGAACTGAACTTAGTAGCAAGTCTCTGGTTGATAAATGGGTATCTACTCGAGTAGGAATTTAGAGATGCCTTAGGTGTGCCTTATGTTCGGGAAAGAAGGTATTAAACATTTTTAGAGGCACATACTCATTTATAGTGCTACTATGAGTTCTGTGTATTTGTATCACCTAAATTTATAATCATTTCTTCTTCTTCAAGTTATTAAGTTTGTGTCTCATTCTTGTGCTAGAAATCT